CCAAATCACAGATCGATCACCGATTTCTGATCAATTGAAATCAATTTAAAGGTGTTTTCCTCTCAACTTTTTACCATGCAAAATTAAAATCGATCAAATTGATCATATACTAATAGTAACATATTAAATTAAGTCTCATTTCAGTTCTTATTTCCCATTCCATAAAAATCAAATAAAAAAAATTTAATGAGATTTCAAAACTGATTAAATAAAAAATGATTTTGTATTTAAATTTTAAGAGACAAACTAAACACATGTACCTTTGCACTAGGGATTCTTAACCTCTAATTTTTAATCAGCTCGCCCCATTTGCCGGTTGCACATGCATACAGTGTGTACTTGTACATATGTACATGTGGAGGAGTTTAATTCTTGGACGATCTACAAACGTCTACATAACATTAAAATAAATGAATATTAAATAAATTATTAATTAAAATCAGTGCCGACAGATTGAACATATTCAAACCTGTTTTCACTTCTTAGTTACTTTTTAAAAGGGATAAAATTTCTAATTTTCGAGCAAATTTTCAAATATTTCGACAAAAAGAGACCAGAAAACTGAACATTTAACAAGATAAATATAATTGTTTTCGAAAAAAAGGCCTTCAAAAACAAAATGTTGTCCACACTCGACCAGTTGACCTAGTGAAAACGGAACAAATCCAACTTTTCGAACCTGCAGGAAACTTTTTTTATCCCATTTTTTCCCCATCCATTAAGAACATTTTTCTTATTATTGAAAAAAAAAGATCACCGATCTCCCTACATAATTTTCTTGGAGTCGGGAAAGGCGGCGATGGATCTTTTTTAAGATAGCATAATTTTCTTTTTATTTACAGTTTATTTTTCAAAAAGATCTTATGCAAAAGTAAAATTCCATTTTTTTTTCTTCAGTTAATTTTTTTTTATTAATTCTATTTCTATATATTCATTCTATTAATAATTCACTTGATTATTGTCAAAATTTTCACAAAGGTAATAGTAGAAATTGAGATCAGCATAAATACATACAGTCATGTAATTTTGTTACAAGCAGAACATTTAAAGAAATATGAAAATTTTGTCATGATAATTCAAGTAAAAGAAAGTAATAATTGAAGGTTTTTATAGCCCTCTGTTTTATTTTAAACCAATTACCAGGTTAAAAACAATGACCACAGTAATTATCAGTAAATCTCAGCATCGACAGTACCTCAACAGTAATTATCAGCAATTCTCAGCAACGACAGTACCTCAACAGTATTTATCAGTATTTATCAGACTCAACAGTAAAAGTCAACAGTAATTATCAGTATTTATCAGAAACAACAAAAATATCAGCAACAACAGTAATAATAACAGTAAATATCAGTATTTATCAGCAACAACAGCACAGTATCAGTAATTATCAAACTTTATCAGTAAAATTTGGGATTCTCAGCACTTTTTTCGTCCAGTAGTGCTTAGTGGTCAATCTCATTAAACCATGTTTACCCATCTTATATCGAATCTTTGAACCAGCTTGTTAAGTTATTTCAATATCATTCACGCAAAATCTATTTTCACCCATAATTTTGTCTCGATCGTCATTTCTATATAACATTCTTGTCAACATGTATAAACTCGTGCACTGGTAACTAAGCTAGTTAATAGACACAAGGGCTTGTTCCTGATGTCTAATAATTATTTTTTGAAAAAAAATCCATTCAGTATTAATAAACAAAACTTGTTTTATCATTACAGTGTACGAATTTGAAAAATAAATAATTATTACGTGCGTTGTTTTATTATACGTGTACATGATATTTTAAAATAAAAAAAAAAAAATATTACACGCTAGCAACAAACCCATGTAAAATATCTTTCAATTTTTCAATACCGAAATCAATTTGTTTTAGTAATTAAAATTTTCTTTATCCTTGAACACAAAATGTACATCACTTTAAATAAAAGACAGTATTTTTTATCTAATGTGTTAAAAGCAGCATTCTGCAACAACATTTACAGGAATATAAATTCATGTTCTCCTGAAAAAAGCAAAAAAAAAAATTGTCTTTTTTTTTGGGGGGGGGGGGGGGGTTTTGGGTGGGGTGGGTTGGTTTGGGTTTGAGGGGGGATTACCGGTGTAAGAATGTTTAGTTTTCAAGTATTGATTTTTACATAATGAATAATTTGAATTAATTTGTGGTAAAATGTCATTATTTTTACATAATACAGCGGTAAGTATATGACAAAAAATAGTCGGTCTTCATTGATTGCTATTTCAAAATCGATTTTCAGAAGAACAACCAATCAGATTAAACATTCCATCCGACCAGATTTAAACACATTGGGAAACGGTGTAAGATTAACAGATTAACTGTGTAAACTATACCGATTGGCCGACAATGGACCTTAATAAGGTGTGTCCACCATTCCCTGTTAAATATCAGGAAACTTTATATACATACACAACGTACACTGACAGATTTTGATGATCAATTATTTTTACAAAATTTAAATTTAATGCAAGCATATAACAAATGAAAAATTATGATTCATTGTAAAAGGAAATTATTTTGATACCCATTATGATACAAAAAAGATTTCAAACTGAGTATGTGATCTAAAAAGGTTTTTTTCTAAACATAACCTGGTAATTTTTACGCGAGGATCGTCATTAAATTTTAGACACAAAAACCGTTAATATTCGCAACATATTTAAAAAAAAAAGTATAATCTGGTTTCTTTTTTTTTAATTCTCTCTTTGTTTATGATAGATTTTTGTGTTATATCTATAATAAATTTTATTTCAATCATGATTTAAGGCTCACATGTAAAAATTTATGAATAACTGAGCGAAGAATGCATTACATCAATCTAAAATCTGAACTCAACGGTTTAGAAATATTAATGTTAAAAGCCTTTTAAAAAGATCCATAATTATAATTATTTTTATTCTGATTAATAAATCACTTCAAGATTTTTAAAACGCTCAACAAAATAAATATTCAAATATGAATAAAATAATGTGTATGACGTTGTGTAAGACTTTGTGGTAGCTTCTATTTCAAGCTCACCAGGATAAATCGTATCGACATTCAGTAACCTACTGACATTATTCTGAAATTGAGTCACCTACGTTTCCTGTTTCCCAGGCTCCGAAGACTATAAAATATATAATATGATTTTGGTACAAAGACACTTACTTGCTTACTGATATCCAATGTAGTCAGGCTGTATATATTTGTGCTTTTAAGGGTACTTACCACAAACAAAAAATGGATGTGCGGGTTGATATATATTTTTTGACTGATTTTGATTTGAAATGAAATAATAAATCTCTGAAATATAAGGAAATCGTAGGTTTTCCTTGGTGTTTAAATTTGAAATTTTATTTTGCCTTCTATATAATTCCCTTCAAAATTTTGCACAATTTTTTTAACTTTATGACAAAATCTCATAAAATTCTCCCACTCTACTTGGTAAACATTATTCAGGTTGACAATTTAAATGTAAAACTAGGAGAAATAATGCTGATTTCTGAAAAAAGTTTGTTTGTGTTATTTATCCTTAAGATAAACTATATAAAATATATCCCGGTGTTGTTTCTGATATATTACAATCGCAGTACAGTTAAGGCAACATTTTCTATTAAAAGTCACCAAAAACGATACACTTAATGCTTAACTGTTTTATTTTTTGGCAAGACACTCTAGTTAAAATAACTATGTTATCTTGAAGAGTATGTCCATCGCTATTCACGTCGGTATTTTTTTTTTCATCATGTGACCCTCTAAAGTCACGTGGGCTGGGATTTTAGGTCAACAAATGAAATGTAAAATTTAACCAAAATGTTCAAGGGCAAGGCAAACAAAAATATATATAAATTACTTTAAGGATTACAAAGAAATGAGCATCACTTTTTGAAAACTATACAGGAACATGAATAATTTAAAATATAAACCTACCTTTTAGATTGTCGCCTTGCCCTTGAACTTTCTGATTAAAAATTGACATGTAAGTACAGTCAATCTAAATATAGTTTTCAATCGCATCGTTGACCCAGCATGGGAGATAACTCTTTAGTTCTTGATACAGTTTCTTTACCTCGTAGATTTTGAATAAATATACATGCAGACTGGGCTGGGATCTTTTAACTAAATCAAATGGTATGCATAAAACATCCTGGACATTACTTACTATTGTGTGACTTCGTTCTCTATACAATATATGAATTATGTGTACTATAAAAAACGTCTTTCAGACTTTCCGAATTTCCTCAAATTATGTGTAACGCGTGCAGCTAGGTTTAAAATTTTGCCGCAGATTGTAAATTAACACGCCGATTGTTAATAAAAATGGAAATATTTTATAATAATTAATAGTTAATTGATAGCCTCCATCAACGCAATAATTAATTCGATATTAAACTTTACCCCTCTGTAACTACTGTACATTCACTTGTGTACAAATAAGAAAACGTTTTCGTTTAGTTTTTCTTATCACATACAGGATTCTATCATGGCTTTCATTCAAACCTTCAACTCCTAAGGGATTTAAGTTGTACATTTGTTAAGGGGACGACCATTTTATTCCGAAAGAAGGGGGGGGGGGGAGATCTCGAAAATGTTGAAAATAAATATGTTCCAGACTGGATAAGAAATAAATCCAGAGCCTCCCTCCTATAAATTAGAGAGTGTTTTTTTTCTTTTGCTTGTCTGACATTTTTCATTTTAAAAAATTGACTTGGGAAAACTTGCTACCCCCCCCCCCCCCCCTTCCATTCAGAATAAAATGGTGGTCGCCTACTCCCCTTTCCTGTTTTTAATCAATTAGGGGAGTCTTTAATCTCCTATTTAGTTACTATTTTTTTTCATTTATACAAAATTTTATTCACAAAAATCAATAGGATTGGGCAGCAAGCAAAGACTATTTTAGCCCTCTCCCTACATTTACTATTTTTGAAAAACAAATTAACACAATATACATGCTGGAAATTAGATCTTGATGGACACTGACACCCACCACACAAAATATATGCAAATAAAGATTTTCAAATCCTAATAGCCTTTTCAACACCTGTACAGTAAGTACATGTATATGAAAAATCAAAGCATTATTTATCAAGAGAATTTATTTCATAAACAGCTTTTCAAATTTCTAGGTAGTCTGTAAAAGGAATACTGAGCAGGTGCAGATTATTTCCATCACTTCATGTTCTTGTGGACGAAATAAATTCTGAAAATACATGTATAAGAAAATCAGGATATACATATATACATAACATTATTGAGAGTAAATTGGTGTTTAAAATGAAATTAAATTATATAATCAGAACAATGCACGGAAAAATGAAACATTGAATGCATAATAAAATGTTATAAGTGCAATTCTACTGTTAATGCATGGTTTATAGCTGATATGGAGCATACCATTTTCCTTAAATGATGGATTAACTTGATGTCTGAAGGAATCCATTGGTCCAATTCTATGGGAATACCTGCAACACATTATATATGCTATGAGATTACTAAATGAAATACATCGTAGAATAAAATGGCATTACATTTGACAAAACAAAATATGAAATCTTGATATACTGTATTGAATTTATGTTACGAAACTTTTCTGGGAAATTATAATAAAACCTCTGAAATTTACAAGAACAAGTAATTAGAATATGAAAGAACATTCTTTCATCTTTACCAAAATGAAAAATAAATATTATTACACATGCACCTTATAAAATGTTAAATGCTTTAGAAGTATACATACCATGTGGAGAAATGGATGCATTTTGTATTTATTCATTCTTCAAGCCTGGAATTCTTGACAGCTACAATAATAAAAGTAATAATTTTATATATCATGTAATTAAAAAAACATAAATATGTATAAATTGCAGAATTAAATTGACTTGACATGTAATCAAACTAAAAAAAATAAATGAAATTTTTTATTCCCCATTAATTTAGAGATTGAGACTGTAAAATGTACAACCATCTATCTAAAGTTGAGGTTTTATGCTTTCAACATAATGATACAGATAATTTCGTAGCATGTTTGTATGCCAAAAAGACAATAATATTACATGTTTAGTAAATCATTGTCAACATACTTTCTGTAACAATGAAATTTCACATTTGATTTAGTATTGTTGACCCCCTCCCAAACCCTTACTACACATACTGACTTTTGTCTCAAAGAAAATAAGCGAATTCGCAGTGACTCTGTACCATTTATTTAGTACAATTACATTTTTAAAATTCTAATAAAAAGTATGGAACTTTGTATGGGGATGTTGTGATTGGGGGTGGGGGGGGGGGGGGCATACACACAATCACAATGCACTGCATTAGTTTTTCACTGACTGTGATAATACCTCTAAAATACCATGTACGCACTAGCCATCGGATTTTTCCTTTGATGTTAACAAGAGAATATCTATATATTATAAATACATGTGCATACATACCTGGGCTAAATGTACTGCAGTGATAGATCTAGGGAGCTGATGCTGATCGTCTCACTCTTCCATTATTTTTCCGAAATAATGTCCTTATATTTTCGTAATTAGGATAAACAACGCCTTGCCTCTTATCTCATCCCTATTTTCTGTAAAGATTCCCCGGTTATTGCGTTTAAATCCATTGCATATCTCAGCTGATGTCGCCACGTTTGTAGATGTAAACAACATTCCGAGTGTCATCGAGTGCAAGCGCTTGGCTGAAGCCAAACGGCACATAAAAAGAGAATTATTTTAAAAACATGCTATTTATGTAAGAGAAAATCACTAATAATTAATTATTCAGATAGGAAAACATTGCCGTTTGTTATAAGTTCTTGCAAGTATCGGTAAATAGCTATTCTGAGCTTTATTTCCTTATAAGGATTAATCAGGGCGGAGCAACTGTCATGACGTCAAACCTCATTATGACCTCATTACCATATTTTTTTTTTCATGGGTAGCCTTAACTGTACTGCGATGGCGACGAGGATGTAGAAAAACATGTTAACTCTGTGATTTAATTCGTTTGAGAAGTCAAATCTGAGATTCAATTAAATTTGAAGATATGGCAGCGAAAATCGATTTTTTTGTGTACCTCAGTTCGTGATAGGAGAATAATTAACGGAGTTACTGCTCAGAAACAAAATCGTGGGATTCTCCTACATTTAGCAGGACCTGAAGATCAGGACATATATGATATTATTGAACATACAGGTGAGAACTTAGATGATAAAGCTAAAGATTTATATAACTACAAAGCACCCAGAAAAAAACGTTGCTTTTGAAAAACATATATTTCGTCAGGCTTCACAAAATGAAATTGAAACAGGTACAAATTTTCTAACACGATTGCAAAAACTGGCAATATCTTGCGACTTTGGAGCGGCAACAGATATTAGGTCATAGATAAATGCAAATCAACAACACCAAGAAGAACGTTTCTGCGAGAAAAAATAATTCAACTTACTGAAAGTACTGGTAATATCAAGGGTCGTAGAAATGTCAGATAGTCAGGCACAGACAATAAAAGAAAATCCAGCTATTCAACAGGGGGTCAACAAAATTAACCAACAATTGAAATCGAAAGAGTCCGAATTTCGAAAAACCAAAACCAAATGGTGCATGGGAACGAAATGACAGAGGTAATGGAAAACAACTTCATGTATGCAAAGGACCCGGAGGACAACACCAATCCGCTAGAAACAACCAACAATTTTATAAAAAAGAAATCACGTCATTTTGGTCGTGACTGCAGAATAACAAGGGAAAAAAGTGCAATAAATGTAGAAATGAAGGTCATTTTGCACAAGTGTGCAACACCAAGCGCCTTCATTACGTTGTTGAAAATGCTACCCCTGAATTCGCCTTCAGTGTATCTAAAAAACCCACCTACAATTAAAGTTAAAATCGTCAACAAAGATCTAAGTGTTATCATTGATACTTGAGCTAGTGTCAACATTCGGTACGGAGTAACATTTCGGACAATAAAGCTTCGAAATTTTTGCATACGGATCACCAAAACAACTGAAAAAACTCGGTATCATTACGGCAGAGTTGAAACATAACGGCGAATCTATTGGAACAACTTTCCATGCCATTGCCGGAAAATATGGATACTTGATCATCAAAAGAACGGCTGAGCAATAAAAGCTGATAAAACTGGAGCAGCATTTCATCCAAGAGATAACAAAGGAAGCATCCAAAATAGTTCAGGAATATAGCAACCTATTCGTTGGACTTGGAAAACTTAAGACATTTCAACTCAAGTTACATGTAGACATCACATTACGACCAGTGGCTCAACCCTTACGCCGTCTGCCGTATCACATGCGTGAAGCAGTTGGAAAAAAAAAATGATGGATTGGAAAAATTTAGATGTAATTGAAAAAGTTTATAGAGCGCTTCAGGAAGTTTTCAAAAAACCCCTAGAGAGTAATCCGACCCTGAACAAAGAGAAATGCGAATTTTACAAGACAGAGCTGAAATATATGGAACACAGACTGTCCAAAGAAGGAATCAAAGTCGACTAAGAGAAAGCCAAAGCGGTTCAGGAAGCAAATCAACCCAGTAATGGACAAGAAGTCCACAGTTTTCTTGGATTCGTCAATTACTACGAAAAATTTATTCCGAATTTAGCAACCATAGCTGAGCCAATCCGTAAGCTGGCCCGCAAATCAACAAAATAGGAGTGGAGAAACACTGAAACAAAGGTGTTAATTGAACTATAAGAGTTATCAACATCATCTAAAGTTACAAACTAAGTGCAGAAACAATGCAAATTGTAGATGGAAGTCCTTATTGGCTCGGAGCAATATTAGAACAAAAACAACGGATAATTTCGTCCAGTGGCTTATGCAAGTCGTACCCTCACTGACACGGAGCAACGGTGCTCTCAAATAGAACGAGAAGCGCTGTCAATCGTATGGGTATGCCAACGATTTCAAACGTATTTGTATGGAGTAGATTTTACCATCTTGACAGATCACAAACCTCTTACCTACTTATTTACACCAAAATACAAACTACCTGCTAGAATAGAGATGGATCATGAAACTACAACCATTTAAATTTACTGTGATCTATACTCCCAGAAGCCAAAACGCAGCTGATGTATTTTCACGCCAAGAAAATACAAACAATAATACACTGAATCAAGAACAAACAAGCGCAGAAAACTATGTCAATTTCGTAATGGAACATGCAGTACAAAGGGCAATGACCATAGAGGAAATTGAACGCGAATCCGAAAATAACCCTACGCTGCAACTCGTAAGGGAAAACATAACTTCAGGAAACTGGACCAAATCGGTTAAAATATAACTATTTTACCATATCCGATCAGAGTTATCAGTTCTAGTACCGATTGTACTAAAACAGACTCGAATGATCATATCACAATTCCTGCAGAAGAGAACATTAGAAATTGCACACGAGTCTCATCAAGGAGTCGTTAAAACAAAATCACTTTTACGAGAAAAGGTTTGGTGGCCAAAAATGGACGAATATGTTGAAAGCGCTGTATTATCATGTCATGCATGTCAAATGGTATATAAAGCTAATCAACGAGCACCTGTTACGATGACAGACCTACCCAAAGGACCTTGGAAAAAAATTAGGAATGGATTCATGCGGACCATTCTCAACCACATAACAATTATTAGTAATAGTCGATTACTATACCAGATACCCAGAAATCGAAATCATGAAGACTGTTACTTAAGAAGCTATTATAAGGGGACTTCTGAGAATTTTTGCAACTTAAGGGTTACCAGAAGAAATAGTCACAGACAAAGGCAGACATTTCATATCGGATGAATTTGAGAATTTCTTAGCGCGGAACGGAATTAAACACCACAGAACTTTACCGTACTGACCTTAAGCTAATGGAGAGGTTTAAAGGTTCCATGCAACACTAAAGAATTCTGCACAAATCGCAAAAGTAGAGCGCAAGGATTGGAGTTTTGAAATATATAAATTTCTCCTAAATTATCGGAATACACCCCACAGCACAACAGGAGAATCACCTGCAAAATTAATGTTTGGCAGAAAATTGATAACAAGAATTCCACACTTGCCAAATCATCAAAGGAACAGAATTCTTAACCGTCGGAACAGAAGAAATAAAACATATGCAGACCGATAGCTCAACGCCAAATCTGTAAAATTGCTTGCTGGGTAGAGAGTGCTGATAAAGAACAATATGCCAATATCCAAGTTAGACACAAAATGGAATGGACAGTTATTTCTCTCGAGGGCAGTGCTAGGGAGATTGACATTAATGGTAGAGCTACTTATCAAAACATGAACCATGTGCGACCATTTAATGGCACGCGACAATGACAGTTTTATTATTCAAACATCTGTTGCTAAAGCTAAGGTAATTGACTCTAAAGAAAATATTTAACCTCATTTATGTTAAGCATAATTTCAAAGAGGGGAGGATTGTAATGTTTTATAATTTACTAGAATTGGTAGCAATCTGTTTATAATTCATTTGACACGTCAGCAAAGTTAGCTCTCTGACTCCGACAGAGTTCAGTAACCTACTGACATTATTCTAAAATTGAGTCACCTACATTTCCTGATTCCCATGCTCCAAAGACTACGAAATATAAAATGATTTTGGTACCAAGACACTTACTTGCTTACTGATATCCAATGTAGCCAGGCTGTATATATTTGTGCTTTTTAGATAAACTGTATATAATATATTCCGGTGTTGTTTCTAGTATATTACACAAAACTCAAGCATCTTTTTGATGTCGAATTCAGTGTACTTAAACGGTTCACGGAAGCTCAGTCGGTAGAGCGCTCGCTCCGTGATCGGAAGGTCGTGAGTTCGTATCTCGGCCGCGACTGACCTAATCGTTCAAATGATTATACTGTAGCAATTGTTCCTTCGCCATGCGCTCGGCACTTTGAAGTGAAAGTTGCGGGTCCTTTGGATGAGACCTTAAAAACCGAGGCCCCGTGTCAGCGCCAGGTGCTGGGACGATAAAGATCCCTCACTGCTCAATGGCCCTGAGTGCTAGTAAAGATCGAAATTTGAAGCCCTTCACCGACACACGATGACGTTTCCATATGAGTGAAAAATTCTCGAGAGAGACGTTAAACAATATACAATCAATCAATCAGTGTACTTTTGTGTACAATGAATATGTTTTTTAACGTAATCATTTTGCAAATGACCAATGACCAATGCTTGACCTTTCATATTTGACATTTTGATACTTTCATTGGATATCAACAAATTAGACCATAACTCCATACATGTCTTAGAACAAATTTGATGTCGATATCGACGATATCGATAATATCAATTCAATATCGATCGTGATAAGCACCATTGATTGTAAAAACTTTGTACCATATTTGAGACTCCTTGAAATATCTATGTCGTCGATCATTTTTGCTATCCTATTTGCACACTTTATTATCACAATGAGGTATTACATAGATGTACAAAGTAAAAAGTAAAGTCACCCTAACAAAAAATGCTATATCTAACTATAGTTAACTATTGTTTACTATGGTTAACTCTAGTTAAGTATAGTTATCACTTTAATCCTTTGAAAACTTTGATTTACTATAGTGATAATTTTGACACTTTGAAAAACTTTATCGAGAACTTTAACATTTTGAAAAACTTTGGCGAAAACTTTAACACTCTGAAAAACTTTGGCGAATACTTTGACAGTTTACAATCTTTGGCGAAAACT